GGATCTGGGTGCTCGGCAGACCTAAGGGGCCCTGATACAGGTGTGCCCACCCTAAGTGAAAGCGGGCCTAACAAATCTCGAGAGGCCCTCTGCTATCAATTTCGTATTTGGGGTCCAGGCAGTTGTGACGTGCCAGTTGGTTGAGGGAAACACAGGCCAAGCAGCAAAGACATTCCACGGCCTTCCAGGCTTTTCCTGAAATGCAGGCCCTGGGCAAGAATCGCAGCCTCATACACAGACAGTTGGGAGGCCCAACTGGACGAGGCCCAGTAGCTGCAATAGAGGCACAGCCTCCTGGGGCCTACCGGAAGCTTCTGGGCAGAGGCCCAGGCCAGCCAGGCCGCCAGGGGAGGCAGATTCTTCCCATATAGGAAAGAGCTCGCTGCCTGGTCTGGGATTCGGGCACTTGCATGCTAGCGGCAGCGCTGCTGGAGCGGACGCTCGTAGGCTGCTGCTGGTGCTGAGAGGCAAGGTGAAAGCACGTGTGGTCGTATGTGAGTGAGGGCGCTGCTGAGGGCAGCGCCATAGCCCAGCCTACACAGCTGGCTGGGGCTTGGACTACAGTGGGGCGCAGGGGTGGTCTTCGGGTGTACAGAGGGAAGACTTGGGTGTAAGTCGAGGGAGAGAGAGAAGGATGATGAGGAGGAGGATGTGAGGGCACTTACCTGGTATTGGCAAAATGGTCTGCATTGGGCGACATCTTCAAGTACTTCGTTGGCTGCTGACGTCAACAGTTGCATTGTCAATTAGTAGGCAGATGGTAGCTGTGTAGGGAGTAGGCTGGGCGCCTAGCGCCAAGTAGAGAGAAGGGCCTGGACACATATGTTGGTGGTGGCGAGAGCAAGCTCTCATTGACATTTGGTTTTTCAGTGTTACGATTCTCCATTGGTGTTATATTGGGGCAATGCTGCTTTCTGGACACTGTGATACATTCTGGCTTTCAATGTGATTGTGCAATCTGGATATTGTCATCTCGCTATTGCTCATTTTTCTTGCACAGTCTATTTGTGGGGAGCTTCACGTGCTGGGAACCGGGGCCAGCGTCCCTTATGAAAAACAATAGGATTGAAACAGAGTGATTAAGAGTTCAGATATCTTTGTAGTCAGAACAGCACCGGGGCACTGCAGAAAAATGTGTTGCACAGTTTCACGGGCCTTGCGGGATGGGAAGCCATTGCAGCAGTATTTATGTGCCATGCCAGCTGTAATTTTTTCCCACTTGGCAGAAACTAGTACAACTACTCTCACACCCAGGCAGCTCAGCTGCAAATTAGTAAATTACCCACTTGGCAGAAATTACCTTTTGTTTTTTTTTTCTAAATCCACCCGCGACAACAGGTAGGAGTGATCCCCGGCCAGCTGCAAATTACATGCGGTGCCAGCTGCAAATTACGGACTTGGCTATAGAGTTTTGTGTAGATTTTTTCGGTGCCACAGTCTCACGTCTACATCATATGAGAATGCCGGGAAGCTAACATATACCAAACTTTGAGATACTGTTTGTTGTACTTGGGACGCTGGACCCGGTTTCCGGCAGGTGACGCTCCCCACCAATAGACTGGAGCAGCCTGCACCAGATGGGGGGGAAAAAAAGAGGAGAAAAAAAGAGATCTAGACTGGTTTGGCAGCGCATCCATCCTTCATGCACACACATCTGATTGAAACTCCAGCTTGATAATCGCCTGAATGTCATCCATACTTATGCATACAGCCAGTGCATAAGCAACTCTGTGCCCTTTTAATGACTAATTTCTATGAAGCTTGAAGAATCCACATCCACATGGTGTGTTGAGTAACGACGTGCCCAATATCTAGGCAGTTCTAGGCATGTGATTCTACATGAGAATATGGATGACATTGGATGTGCCTAATAGGTCGACGGTACTAGGCACGCGATTGTACAAGAGAGTATGGATGTGCCTAATATGTAGACGGTACTACGCACGTGATTGTACACGAGTGTAAAGTCAGTGGAAAGGAAGGACGGGAAAGATGATGCCACTTTGTCGGGTGCAAGGTTGCATCCATGTGTGTGTGTGTTTTTTAAGAGACTGTCAGCAGAACGAAGCCTCTTCCACCCCGGTGGTGAGTAGATCCAAAGAGAACGACAACCTCCCTTCTTCTTTGCGGAGTATATAAACTTCTGCTTCAAATCGAGTATGTGGGGTTCAATTGTACCCACCAATAGATCGGAGCAACCAGGAAGCCCGCTAGAGGGGGATGCTCTTATCACCTCCTCTAGCAAGGAAACTCGTTCCTAAATTAAAAAAAGAAAAAGAAAAAGAGTGGTTCAGTTGTACCTGGTTGAGCTATTCCCATCCCTCTTTCTATATATATATATATATATATTTATTTTTTTTCTCAATACCTCTCAAAAGTACGGCAATATTTTCTCCAGCAAAGCCTTGCTCCAAAAGTCTTCTAAGCATTTCCAGTCTTGTAACAACAGTACTAGTGTTTTCACCCGAATACAACGTACCGTCATTATAGATGTTATGTATTTGGGGCAGCTGTGATTCTGGCTACGACAATAATGACGGTACGTTGTATTGGGGTGGGGTGAACACACTAATTGAAGCAGCCTTACCTCACAATCTTCTATAGACTTACATATTATATTTTTTAAATGATTAAAATGTTTTACTAATTGTAATCTTGCGATGAAACGGCCGATTCGTTGTTCTATTGTGAGAGGTGCAAGGTCGACCACCTCTGTGAACTTGCGCGTGGAATGCATACACACCTGCTTGCTTTTCAGCACACCTGCACCTTCAAGTTGTATTTTCTGCTCTCTTCGTGATGATCATTTTGATCTGCATGTTGTAGTTGTGCACGGGGGGAGTGCGGAGGCGAAGGGGAGGGAGGGGAGAAGCGAAGCAGAAGAGGAGAAAGTCTTACTTAGAGTAGAAACACAACATGCCCCCTGATAGTGTTGCAGCCTGCAGGCACAGTTAAGAACCCGGCCACAGTAAGACTATTTGGCACATCTTGAAGGTGATGAACTTAGAGTCTTAGACACAAGAGAACACTGGAAGAGGCCACCGCACTCAAAAAAGAAAAGGGCAACATCAAGACAACATTTAGAAGGAGAGGAAGCAAAGAATTAAAAAAAAGGCGGTATGATTCCCTGTGTGTGTCCAATCGAAAAAAAAAAATCAATTTTTTTTGAAACAATGAATGTACATTAGAATGAATCATGTAGATAAATCATAGAATAGATTACCTTCTTTCTTGAAGTCACGTTTGCCATTGTGAGAAGCCCTGCGAGGATGAAGTCCGATCCACTAATCAAGTGATGTGCAATCTCCAAGTATTTCCGGTGTCTTCCTCACGGCGCACACCTCCTGTACAATTTCCAACATTAAAGTTGAGTAAATAAACAGGATGTCATCATTGTCATGTCAACAGATTACTACAAGTGCCCAGTCTTTTTTTTTTTTTTTTTTTTTTTTTTTTTTTTTTTGACCTTTTTCCCCATCTAGTGAAGGGATCAAACCTCTTCACCTCTTTGTGGGCGCCAGATCATGATTATACCTACTAGTTTGCATCTCGCTATCCACAAATGGCGAACTTAAAGTTTTGATAATGAAGACCAGTAAAAAACCAAAACTAAATTTACAACAGATTACTACGAGTGCCCAGTCAATCTCCAGGTATTTCCAGAATCTTCCTCACGGTGCACACCGCCTCTCAATTTCAAACATTAAAGTTAATTAAACAAACAGGATGTCGACGGATTACAAGTGCACAGTCAATCTCTCCTGCAAAGACATAAAATTGTACCGACTACCGGAGTTGACTTTCATACATCTAGCATCCAACCCCTATGACAAACCTCAACTTACATAGGAAAAAACAAGAAGATATACGATTGCAAAAGGCTAAAACCTGTGCATGGCCGGTAGCTCAGTGGGTGGAGCACCGGATGGAAATGCACATTGTGGTATAAGGTTGTGGGTTCAAAACTCAATTACAGCCTTGGGCATGGACACCAGCGGGCGTTGACCAAAGCACGGCCATTCACACACTCCCTTTGGGCTGACGAATAGTAACAATTACAGACACTGTCTGCGCACCACCCAAGGGGTCTAGTCCATGGTTGTAGTATGCTGGTAGCAGGCCTTGGGGGAGGGCTGCTTGAATGGTCTGCGTTGGGCGGTGGTACGACGTGTGTGTGTGTGTGTGTGGGTTGTGTGTGGTGTGTGGTCCAATGATCTCTGGGTCATGTCTTGTGTCCTCACCATGGTCGGGGTAGAGAAGTTAGGTTGGGTAGAGGTCTTAGGTCTAGATTAGGTTAGGTAGGAATTTGTGTAGAGATTGTGGGCCAGACTGTGTGCGCCGCATTGTTCGTATGCACTGCTCTGTGGGTGTGTCATGGCTGTGTCTACGTAGTAGTTTCCCGGCCTCACGGTACACCTGCGAGAGTCCATACTTACAATACTTACATTGTACGATCCTGCTCCCGGTCCGGCTCCACTCTCTACACCCCCCTTGAGTAGGGTAAGGGTTGGGTGTTAGCCGTATACGATTCCCAAGGGCGGGCCTCATGTCTATCTTACGATGCTTGCGGGATGGGCTTCATCTGGGTTGGTACCTGTCTGTGTTCCCAATTAGGGGGCCCAATCGGGGCATGAATCTGGGGAAGGGTCTCTGGGTAGGGCTCTCATCTTAGGCAGGGGAGGGTGGGTTGTCGCATTGATAGTAGAAGGGTGGTTAACACCCATAGAGTCTGCTAGATGTGATACAGATGGGGAACGACCACATATCTGTGACCCCTCCTATGTCCAGGTCGTCCTTGAGAATTCGGGGTGTCCCTATGGTAGCGCCCAGGGGGGGATACTCATATGAGACCCGCGGAAGGCGCGGGTTGATGTAGGTCTAGGTCTAGAGACAGGTCTGGGTCGCACCGCTGAAGGTCTCAACTTGCGATCTGATTGACAACAAAATGTTCACGAATGAAGCCCCCTGGAGGAGACTGTCCTTGGGGCTGTCACAATCCATATAGATGATCTCCCCACTGGTCGAGTACAACCACAAGCACCTCCCGAGGCCTAGCATCCAGCCTCTACTACGATCTGGACTCAAAAAAAAAAAAAAAAAAAAAAAAAAAAAAGGCTAAAAGGCTAGTAAAGCTGATATGGTCCTCTATGCACCAAAGTTGGCAGTAAAAAAATGAAAAAAACATAATTTCAATTAAGTCAATTAAGTTCATTAATTTAATACTATTGTGAGGAATCAGGCCCTCACAGAGGCCCCACAGGCCCTCGCCGGCGCCCCTGAAATTTCCAGTGGGCTTCAGGGCCACGGGGGCGGGTTTTCCTTGAGCCTGGCGGCCTTTTCCTGGCCCTGAGACGGGCCCTTGTTGTGTGACCGGGTCCTTCGACTTTTGGGCCGCGCAGTCCTGGCCCTCCACGTCGCATACGGCTCTCGGCTAATAAGAATGCGCCGTGCGATGCAGGCCACGTTGCACAGTTGCACATCCCAACTGTCAGGCCTGGTCCCTGGACACAGTGCCTGGCCTAGGACCTGAAGCTACTGGGCCCCTGGGCGCACAGACACTTTCCGTAAAGGAAAGTGCTTGCCGCCTGCCCGGTCATTCTGGCCTGGGTGCACCTAAGGCAGCGCTGCTGGATTGGGCGCAGATGCCGCTGCTGGGCGCAAGGGGCCAGGGCGCACACGGGTGCTAGGCGAATGCTGCATGGAAGAGGCATGCGAGCCTGCCATAGCCGGGCGAAGCTCGCTGGTTGCCAGTTTGGGCGATGGTGGTCCTTGGGCAAGGGAGAGTGACTGTGGGGGGTCGGGTCTGCATGAGCGACTTTTTGATGTACAGTGGTCTTCTGCTGAAGCACTTCCTGGTTGCATCTTCATAATGTAGGCACCAATAGATGGAGCGGCCCACCAGGCAAAGCCTCAATTCGGGTGGTTCTCCTACCACCACTGGGATAGAGGCCTTGCACAAGGGCCTTTCAAAAAAAAAAAAAAGAAAAAAAAAAAAGTAGGCTAGTGTAGGTGCTGAGAGATAGTAGGTTCGGTGCTGAGCGCCATATGGGAAGAGCGACATTGGATACACTGCTTATGGTGGCGAGGTGGGACTGACATTGACATATGAGTTCATTGCTTTGCTCTGATTTGGCTTGTATCTTGGTGCATACTACTTTCTGCTTGGCGGACGACTATCTGGTCTTCAATGTGATGATGATGCAATTTGGTTTTCTGTCTTTCGCCCTCACTCATTTTCCTTGCGATTTGGTATCAGAGCTGGTTCAGAGATCGCCTCACTGGTGCTGGTGTTTGGGTTACTTGGTGCGTTGAGCGGTCTTCATTGCAGTAGGGATACTTGAGCGCTGGTTTGGTTGTTGTCCGATCCTGGGTAGAGAGGATCGGGCCGGAAGGCTATGGATATGGCGGGTGTATGTGGGATGATGAGTGTATGCTGATGTGGCATTTATGCTGAGGTGGCACTGCATTGCATTGTGGGTGGTGCCCAGGCAACGACCGGTCATCAAAATGCACGTCAGGCGTCATCAGCTCTTTGGTGAGAAATCTGTGGTTGGGGGCAGCTATTTTAAGGTACATTGTTCCTGACCTTATCTACCCTCTCCATCTCTTCTTACCAAAGAGGGAGAGAGTCCTTTCTTCAGAGTCCTCTCTTGGTTCAGGAGTCCTAAAAATAAAAAAAAAAGGTGTTTGCTGACTGCTGACACCTGACAGACAGCAATAGTATAGTACTGCAGCAGTCCACCATCTCCAATTCTATGCTTTGCTGTTGTTCCAGAACTAGTTGAAGTAAAGATAGAGTCATTTGCACGAGTCTGTGTATTTTCTGGTCACACTGCCTGAAGTGCTTTCTGAGTTTCAGACCGAATATTTATTTATTTATTTATTTTCATCTCGGCCAGACACTATGCTGTCGTAGGTTCCCGGCAGGAAGCTCTTAGTACACCTGTCGTATAGCAGGTCCTGCCACCTGGTGGAGAGAGGTAGTTGCGAGCAAAAAGTGGAGCTCAGCGTAGGTGCAGGGCAACAGGAGCTGCTGCAGAAGCAGAGCTAGAAATAGAAAAGCTAGATTGGAGAACAAGGACGCAGACATGGCCATCATAGAGGGATTAAGGGAGCCCATTTTGTGCTGGGCATTTGCTAGTACATAGTTGTACACGGCAGCAAGATGGATGAGCTTCAGTCCACTTTGGACCAGGTACTTAGGGCCCTTCATGGATTGGGAAGGCCAGTTCCCTCCACCATGGCCGGGCCTAGTATCGGGCCGCAGCCTGTTATCACGCCGCTAACGACCTTACCGGTGATGGAAGCGTCTTTTGTTCCTCAGTTTGGTATGCCTGTATCAGGTGAACAGTTAGCGTTAGGTGCGCGGACTCAGGCTTCTTCTTCTCCCAGCAAGCTGATGCAGCAGATCCAGCAACTTGCCCAGCCGCGGGTACAGCCTTCGGCACCACAGGCACAGGCTGCTGGGTCAAAACTCCAATGGGTCCCTTACCACTACCGGGATAGTAGCCTTACAAAAAGGGCTTTTAAACCAAAGAAAAAAAAAAAGAAAAAAAAAAGAGAACTGTGCCATTCACCAGAGATAAGAAGGACGAGCATTTCAACACTTGGTTGACAACTGTGCCGACGTAGGTTATGGCCAAGTTGACGCGGCTCGATCAGGAAGTAATCTTGGCTGCATCCTATTTGAAGGGATCGGCCGCAAGGTGGCTTGACGGTTTAGTGATGCAAGAGTGGTACGATCGGAATTTTTATGCTTGGGCTCGGGCCCAAGATTTGAATTCGTTTCTGATGCTCGTAGAGCAACGGTTGTACAACCCGCAGAAGGTGCAGCAGGCCACCGATGTGTTGGCCAAGACTCGAAGAAGTATAGGATGTCACGCGAGCTCACCAACACCGTAGAGAAACTGGTGTTGTCCGGGGGGTGCGCTATGACCGACATATGCTCCTAACTACATACTTACGGTGCTAACCTATAGACATTAAAAATGCGTTAGTCAGCATCGACATGCACGATTTCTCTTACTTCAGCAAGAAGGCCTCAGATTTGGAGGCCAAGCTAGGGAGCGCGCAGCAGGCGCCAACTGATGGGAGGAAGAAAAAGATCCCACAGGATTGGAGAAAGAAGGGTCGCCTCATGTTTATGGATTCGGATGAGAATCAGGAAGACGATATTTCCGATCTTGTGGCGGAGACAAAGTATATGGGCGGTGAGTAGAGTTCAGAGGGAGGAGGGACTCGATCAGGACGTGTGGTGGGACCGGTATGTTTGCAGGGCGTGCATTAACTATGGCCAGTACAGTCACACACACACACACACCAAGTGCAAGAATAAGAAGGTCACCAAGAAGATTCCACCCGTGGTAGGTGCTCACATATCTTTTGCGCAGGTGAGTACTTCTGCGAGTACATCCCAGGGAAACACGTCACGCCAGGTGGAAGTTATAGCTGCTTCTACTCAAGCTGAAGTGGGGGATGTTTCCTCACCCCTTCAGGAGATGGCTAAAGCTGTTGCTCCTTAGTCAACCTGTGGACAGGTGACCAAACGATACTTTGTTCATTAGATGTGTCTGAAGCCTTAGAGTATCTTGAAACAGAGTGGTCAGAAAAGGACCCTCGTGAGTTGTGGGTGGTGATGGAAAAGGGTCCCAAGGGCGAGCATTTCATAGTGGAAGTCAATCTAGACGGTTGCGAGTGTGGTGCCTTCGCAGACATTGGCTCCACTAGGAACTTTATTAATTGCACTTGTGTTGAGAGGCTGCGCTTAGGGGACCGAGTGTAGGACTTAGTAGGGTTGTAGTCTCTACCTTAGCCAACAAAGAGTGCATGGTTGTACAAGACTGCATAAAGGACATGGTATGTACCTTCGCCTATGGACGAGGGGAACTTCATCATAAGATTTCATTCTTGGTCAGCGACAACTTGCCATTCGACATGCTATTAGGTATGTACTACCTCAAGATTGATAAGGCCCAGTTCAACTGGGACAAAAAGATGCTTAAGCATGTATTGCCTGACGGGAGGGCCGTTAGACTGGCGAAGGATTGTGGCAGCTGTTTAGTGAACTCGTATGGCTGTATGTGCACACACGCGTTTTACAATTATTATAAACAAAAAAACAAGGAGGGTATGTATCTAGTCCTCATCTTTGAGAAGTGGGAGGCTGTAAAAACACCACCTCAGATAGAAGTCGTCGTCACAAAGTATCCAGACCTTTTCGAGGAGCCTTCGGGGGTTGTTGCAAGGGAGGTTGTCCACTCAATATAAATTATTACCGACAACAAAGTGCCTAAGAGAAGCATCTATAGGATGGCTCCTACCGTGTTGGACGATCTCCACCGATAACTGAAAGCGCTAACAGAAAAAGGATGGATCCGGCCTAGTACATCTCCCTACGGTGAGCCAATCTTATTCGTTTGGAAGAGAGGGGGATAATTGAGGATGTGCACTGATTATCGAGGCCTCAATATCATCATTGTGGAAAACGCGGAGCCTTTACCCACATCGATGACCTTT